CTCCGGCGAACAAAAAGATGATAACGGCGACAGACTTTTACCACGTTATGACGGCGATGGTTCCGTTATACGTAGCCATGATCCTCGCTTACGGCTCCGTTAAATGGTGGAAAATCTTCACACCAGACCAATGCTCCGGTATCAACCGTTTCGTCGCTCTATTCGCCGTACCTCTCCTCTCATTCCATTTCATCGCCGCAAACAACCCTTACGCCATGAACCTCCGTTTCCTCGCCGCAGATTCCCTCCAAAAAATCATCGTCCTCTCTCTCCTCTTCCTCTGGTGCAAACTCAGCCGCAACGGTTCTCTAGACTGGACAATAACTCTCTTCTCTCTCTCGACTCTCCCCAACACACTCGTCATGGGGATTCCTCTCCTTAAAGGCATGTACGGCGATTTCTCCGGCGACCTTATGGTTCAAGTCGTTGTTCTTCAGTGTATCATATGGTACACACTCATGCTCTTTTTATTCGAGTACCGTGGCGCGAAGCTTTTAATCTCCGAGCAGTTTCCGGACACAGCTGGTTCTATTGTCTCGATTCATGTTGATTCCGACATTATGTCTTTGGATGGTCGGCAACCACTTGAGACTGAAGCTGAGATTAAAGAAGATGGGAAGCTTCATGTTACTGTTCGGAGATCAAACGCGTCGAAGTCTGATATATACTCGAGAAGGTCACAAGGGTTATCTGCGACTCCTCGAGCTTCGAATCTAACCAACGCGGAGATTTATTCGTTACAGAGCTCTAGAAACCCAACGCCACGTGGCTCGAGTTTTAACCATACTGATTTTTACTCGATGATGGCTTCTGGTGGTGGTGGTCGGAACTCGAACTTTGGTCCCGGAGAAGCTGTGTTTGGTTCTAAAGGACCAACTCCACGACCTTCTAACTACGAGGAAGACGGTGGTGCTAAACCGACGGCTGCCGGAACTAACGCCGGAGCTGGGAGGTTTCATTACCAATCCGGTGGTAGTGGTGGTGGAGGAGCGCATTATCCGGCGCCGAATCCGGGGATGTTCTCGCCGCAGACCGGTGGTGGTACGGCGGTGAAGGGAAACGCTCCGGTGGCTGGTGGAAAGAGAGGGAATGGTCAAGCTGACGGAAACGGAAGAGATCTTCATATGTTTGTTTGGAGCTCAAGTGCTTCACCGGTCTCCGACGTGTTCGGTGGAGGAGGAAACCACCACGCCGATTACGCCGGAGCTACGAACGATCATCATAAAGACGTTAAGATCTCTGTACCTCAGGGGAATAGTAACGGTATGGTCCCTCAACAACTTTACTGTTTCGTTTTTACTACAATTTATTTTCTTTACAAAAACAACCCCATTAATTTCTCTTAAAATCGAAAAGACTCAATTTTTTTGGAAACCCATCATCAAGAAGAGTATAAATGTCTGTAAAAATTACACCTTTCGTTGGTTTAACTCTGATTTGAGCTTTTGATTAATGGATTCTTGAAATGTTCTTGTTTCAGACAACCAGTACGTGGAGAGAGAGGAGTTTAGTTTCGGTAATAAAGATGATGATAGTAAAGTGTTGGCTACGGACGGTGGAAACAACATAAGCAACAAGACGCAACCAAAGGTTATGCCTCCAACAAGTGTAATGACAAGACTCATACTCATTATGGTTTGGAGGAAACTTATTCGCAACCCAAACACTTACTCCAGTTTATTCGGCATCACTTGGTCCCTCATTTCCTTCAAGTACTGTTCCTAACACAAACTCCTTTAACTTTTTAAATACATTTTCTTGATAAATAAAAGTGTCAGTCTTGAATGCGTTTTTTGATGTATTGAAGTGAAAAAAGAGAAAAAGATTTGAGAAAGATTTTTGGGGGAATTAAATTGATTTGGTCTGTGCAGGTGGAACATTGAAATGCCAGCTCTTATAGCAAAGTCTATCTCCATACTCTCAGATGCAGGTCTAGGCATGGCTATGTTCAGTCTTGGTCAG